GCACTCATCTGTCTGCTGGGTGGAGTCCCAGCGGCTCCACTGCGGCTGAGCGACTTTGGGCACGTTGCTATGCTTCTCTGAGCCTCAGTTTCCTCTTCTGAAAAATGGGGTCTCAGAGGGTCACTGTGAGTGCAATTGCTCTGCAAACTCTAACGCTTGGGAAGCATGAGCATTCTCGGGGAGCACGGGCCCAACTGCTCCCCACCCACCTCCCTGTGATCCCCAGCTCCAAGGGCTCGTCTGCCTGGAGAAATCTAGTTTGATGTCCTGGGGCTGCACCTCACAAAGGACCGTGATACCTGGAGAAGACTGTGGATTTTCTCATCCTGGCCAACAGCGCTCCCCCTGGAAATGGGAGTGCTGAGGACCACCCCCACTTCCCTCCCTTCTTCCTCCATCCACGCTTGCTTACGACAGAGGTGCTTGCTTACAGCAGAGGCGTGGGAAAGAGAACGGGCTGAGCGCTAAACTGCTGCAGCTCCGCTTGTCCGTGTTATGTGTGTGGCTTGGGCCTCAGTTTCCTCCCCTGTAAAATGGGATGGAGTGAAGTTCTAGAGCTTTTCTTCTCGAGTCCTGAGCAAGACAGCACCTCTGTAAAGGGGCTCTCGGGGTCTCGGGCGCATAGGGGGGCCCCAGGACAATCTGAGTCCCCAACCCCCGCTCCCTGTCCCCTACCTCCTGTCGGCAGCCTCCCTCCCCTTCCCCTCAGCCCTCCCCCGTCTCAACCAGCTTCACTTCAGGTGGTCTTGGGCTTTTGATGAGGCTGTGGGTGTGCACATCTGGGGTGTCTGCACATCCCCCAGAGGTCAGCGGCTGCCGCAGCACTTACCTGAGAGGTTGCTCAATGACCATCTGCTGAATGAGAGCGTCACTGAGCAAGTAAATGAGCAGGCTGGGTTTTCCTGGGCGGGCAGATGGGTTCGGCTGCCCCCCTGGTCAGGGGAACAGTCCTCCAGCCCCACTGGGCCTCCATGGCCCCAGTCTGGTAGTTCCTTATGCCCAGCTCTCTCCTTGCTCTTATCTTATTTCCTCTCCAACTACCAGAGGAAGGGCTGGCTCCACTGTTCAAGGTCAACACACCCAACCTGCCAGTGCTGTGGGAGCAAAGGGCCACCCAGAGAGGCTGCAGAGGCAAGATCTGAGGGTGCTGTGGGTGGGGAGGGCATATCCCTTAAAGGCAGAGACTTCTCCCACTCCCATTCCCCAGACCAGCTGGCCCCTCCTGCCCTTTAGGTGGGACCTCGTTGGTGCCCCAGTGCCCTGGGAATGGGGAAAAGGAGTCCTGCATGGCCTGGCCTTGTTTCTGTTTCTCCATGTGACCCCAGGGGACCTGCGGAATAATAATCACAACACAGGTGTAGTGCTTCTTGCACGCTGGGCTCTGCTCTAAATGCTTATGTATGTAAACTCACTGAACACGCCCAACAGCTGTAGAATCTAGGTCCTGTTGCGACTGACATCCACGTCACAAATGAGGAAACAAGCTCAGGAAGGTTAACTGGCTCGCCTAAGGTTGCAGTGAGCAGGGGTGCAGCTGGGATACCATTTCCCCCACCTTACTGTCTTTGCTCAACTTCACTGATCCCCCGCGGTGTCATCCATACCATTCACGGGACAGATTCAGATCTCCTGGGGAGGGTCCCTGGCTGCCCCTGCCCAGCCTATCTCAGCGCCTCCTTCTCTCCACCGCAGAGCTCACCATGTCAGCCAACGTCACCCTGAAGCTGCTCTGCCCGATCCTGGAGCAGATGAGCCGCATCCAAAGGCACAGCAACTCCAGCATCCGCTACATGGACCACGCCTCGGTGCTGCTGCACGGGCTGGCCTCGCTGCTGGGCCTGGTGGAGAACGGGCTCATCCTCTTCGTGGTGGGCTGCCGCATGCGCCAGACCGTGGTCACCACCTGGGTGCTGCACCTGGCGCTGTCGGACTTGCTGGCCACCGCCACCCTGCCCTTCTTCACTTACTTCCTGGCTGTGGGCCACTCGTGGGAGCTGGGCACCACCTTCTGCAAGCTGCACTCGTCCATCTTCTTCCTCAACATGTTCGCCAGCGGCTTCCTGCTCAGCGCCATCAGCCTGGACCGCTGCCTGCAGGTGGTGCGGCCCGTGTGGGCACAGAACCACCGCTCGGTGGCCGCGGCCCACAGGGTCTGCCTGGGGCTCTGGGCCCTGGCCGTGCTCAACACTGTGCCCTACTTCGTGTTCCGGGACACCATCCCGCGGCTCGACGGCCGCATCATGTGCTACTACAACGTGCTGCTCCTGAACCCTGGGCCCGACCGCGACGCCACGTGCAACTCGCGCCAGGCGGCCCTGGCCGTCAGCAAGTTTCTGCTGGCCTTCGTCGTGCCGCTGGCCATCATCGCCTCGAGCCACGCGGTCGTGAGCCTGCAGCTGCGCCACCGCGGCCGCCGGCGGCCCAGCCGCTTCGTGCGCCTGGTGGCGGCCGTGGTGGCGGCCTTCGCGCTCTGCTGGGGGCCCTACCACGTGTTCAGCCTGCTGGAGGCGCGCGCGCACGCCGACCCCGCGCTGCGGCCGCTCGTGTGGCGCGGCCTGCCTTTCGTCACCAGCCTGGCCTTCATTAACAGCGTGGTCAACCCGCTGCTCTACGTGTTCACCTGCCCCGACGTGCTGCACAAGCTGCGGCGCTCGCTGCGGAGCGTGCTGGAGAGCGTGCTGCTGGACGACAGCGAGCTGGGCGGCCTGGGCAGCGGCCGCCGCCGCCGCCCCTCCGGCCCCCGCCCGGGCC